TTTTTTTTTTTTTTTTTTTTTTTTTTTTTTTGGTTTGCTCTACCAACAAACAAGTATCAACATTTATTTTTGATCAATTCTATATTTTTTGCTACTATTTTTTCTTTTTCTTATTGCGTTTTTTTGTTCAAACTGTTTTTAGTGGCTTATCTTTTTTTTTTGTTGTAACATTTATTTTGCTTACTATTCTGGTGAATAACAGTTTTTTTAATTTTTAATTTTTGATTTAAAAGAATTCGATCTGGAATGGTACATACGGTGTCGTCGATAGCTTCAATATCACCGTTGGTAAGTATCAAATATTATGAACAAATAAGCTGAATTTTCATTATGAGTAAAGAATCGATGACCAAAACTGTTCTCATTTTTTTGTCAGACTTATGCTACTTAGTTGCTCCCCTTGAAGATAAAAGAAACATTTTTCCTCATTCTACATTATGTGAATTAGAAAGATATAAAACGATGGTGTTTTTAAAGTTGCAAAAATTCGACTTTCTTACCCGGATCTATCAAGTATATGTTTGTTAAACTGGGAAAAAAAATTACTGAACTTCCAAATCGATCACCAAACCGTCAGTATGTTAATAGCGCACTGAAGACTTCATTCATTACAGCCAGTGCTCTTCATTTTCTCCTTATCCTTTTTAAATCATATAAAAACTGTATTATTGGAATGTTGAGGTTACTATCTTTTAGTTTTTTCAACTAATTTTTTTAGTATCTTTATTTGAAGAACATTTATGATATTAGTCGAAGAACGTAACCGGAAAAATGAGAAGGATAAAAAATTGATTTGAGATGATAGCCATTTAAGTGTTGATAATGGTTGATGTGTTTTTGGTGATCGTGATAGTCGTGGTGGTAAACCACCGTATTTGTTGACTGTGCTGACTGAGGGGGAAGAAATTTTTCAGGTCTTGTTTATGATTAAAAAAAAATTGAGTAAAAAAAGTTAGTTATTTTATTTGTTAAGCAAACAGTATCATTTAAATAATTGCTGTTGTATCGGGTAATTAGGTGGCGGAGGCAATTGGAAAATGGTGGCAATAAAGGAGAAATTTTAATGGGAAATCTATAGTTTACGTGTTAAAAAGTTGTAAAGTGGGAAAAAAAAGTGTGGTGTTTAGTTTTTTGCTTCTTATTGTTTTTTCTTATTTCAATGATTTTCTTTAGCAAAATCGTCGGTGGTCTGACGCCAACGACAGAAGCGCGTCACAGTTGATACAACAAGACTCGGCAGATTCACATTCAGCTGTCTACAGGTAAATAACAGCAACATTTTCAACAATAAGTGTTTAGCAGATTTTTAATTATAATTACCAGAAAAAAAAAGTACAAAAAAAACTATTTTTCGTTTCTTTTTTAAATAGCAGCTAGTATAAAAACAAAATGTTCTGTCAACGGTGATAAAAGGAACGAAAAAAATAGAGGGTAGAATCATTGATTAACCCAATTCATTACATTAACTTTGAGAAATCATTGATAAAACGTTTATTGACAATATAATTGAGTGTTGTCTAAATTCAATCTTTTCAAATGACAACAATTAATTGAACGGAATTTATGGTGCGTAAACATTCTTTGTGCTTTTTCAAAGAGAGATACAGTTAATCCAATTTGCAAATAACAAAAACAAAATTGCATAATATAATTTTGTAACCAACTTTTTTGACGATCTTCGTATATTTTCATGCATTCAGCCAGCAAACAACCATGTATTCATCCTTTTTTCTATCCAGCTATCTGCTTAACCCGTTCGCCAATCTGTAAATTTTTTTTCTTTCCATAGCGGAACACTGACTTCAACAAGTAGCCACTGTTACACATCTGAAATTGGTGTCACGGAGCGTTCTGTTTCAGATATCTATGTATCTTGACGGTTTTTTTTGCCTTCGCTCTACTGAAAACAACTAGAGAAATGTCAAGCAATGCTAGTTTTTAAAAAGCTAAAAAAAGAAAATTGTTTTTTTTAAACAGTAAAATAATAGGCAAATTGTAAACAATATTTGAAGTAGTCCAATGATGATAATAGTCTAAGTAGTTCAAATAGCATTATGTGACTGACACTTTAGTCAGTAATAAAAGAAAAGTTAAGGATTGAATTTGAGCTTATTTTTGTTCCTTTGTAACATATGAAAAATTACATATTTGAAATAAACCTAATGTAAAGAGACAATTCAAAGATCTATTTGGAGAAAATGGCAAACAATTTTTTTTATTTTCTTCTTTCAATTCGTAAACTTCTGTTAACTTTGCTTTAAAAATTTTGCATTTTACAAAAATTTTTATTCTTTCTAAATTTTTCTGCCAAACTGTCGACATACCACACTGTGGATAGAGATAATAGAAGTTCGATGACTTACGGTAATCAATGAACAAGTAGTATCTAAAGTTATTTTTGGGAGCATTCATCTCCTAGTTGTTACTGCTGCTTTTCTGAGCACCATTGTTTGCTGTTGCCCTATTGGTAGCAGTTAAGTGTTATATTAAAGGATTAAACAAGAAGTTTTTGATGGCACTTCCGGACGATTAGTAAATTAGCGAGAAAAATGTAGCACTGGAAACTGGTTATAACCGGAATGGACAGACAATGTCATCAAAATTTATGTACTTTAAGTCAATAACTATACTTGTGAAAAACAGTTTCGTTAAGGGACACTTTATAGAGTTACATTAAAAAATCTATGTTATACTGCTTTTTCTTTTTCCTTCTTTTTTTGTTGCTTCAGATATCTGGATCCTCGGCATAACGGTAACCAGTGTTCGGCTGGTCAGTTAGCAGTCTATGATCCATATATGGCTCAAGAACAGCAACAATTGCAACAACGATACGATAGTATGATTCCACCGATAGCTACTGTTATGCCACCATTTTGGCCACCATCTCAACCACCGCCTATACCTCACCAGTATCCAATTCCAACGATGTTCGTACCTATTATGTCACCGCAACATGCCAGTTTTACCAGCAGTTCGTTACCGACCAGAACTGTATGTATGCTTAATTGATTATATTTGACTTAAATTAAACAAATATTGTTCAAGTTTATTGTTTGCTGTTATTTACCAGTATTATTTTAAATTGTTTATTGAAAGCATCGGTTTTCTAATCAATTAATTTTTTTTGTTGTCATTTTTAATCTTAAAAACTTTTTAGGTAGAAAAAAAGGTGAAGAAAGAACGGTCAGCATGTGGTCAACTGTTTTGTGGTGGTATTGCTCAACTTTTATGGATAATTATTGGTATAATTGTTACCGGAATGATTGCTGCATTGATATTGGCTTTAATAGTTGTGTAAATAATATCAGGTTCCTGATACCAATACTACTATTTATTTGATTTAGTTTTATTGTAGTTATTTTTGTTGTTGTTTTTTCATTCTGTCCTTTCTTTCCTTTTTCTTTTTTTTTGATTTTTACTAGATGAATCAGACAGTTTCCTGTAAGATATAATTAATAATAGGTTTTAGACGTTTATTGGAACATAATATGTATTTATATTGTTCTATTTTTTTTAGATATTATTAAATAAGAAAACATGGAAAAAGAAAACAGTGTAATTTTTGAAAAATTCTTGAATTTTTTTTTCAAAATTTTTTTCTTTTGTTTTTTTTTTCTTACTATATTTTTATTGATCCACCACTTTTGTTAGTTTAGTGCACTTAGATTTCATCGTTTTTCTTTACTTGTTTTTTTGTTTTTTGTTTATTTTTGTTTATTTGATTCAAGAGCAAAAATGAGAGAAGAAAAAAGAAGGATGAAACAGTTCCCACTTCTCTTTTTTTTTTTTTTTTGAAAAGTTGTTAATGTTTGGCCATTTTTTGTTTTGTTTGACCAGTTAAATTCTTTTAAAATTTCTGTTATAAATACTCACTGTTGTAGAAAGAAATCAAAATTTTTGTGTTTCTTATCCACTGAAAACACTGCATTCTGATTAGGACAAAAAGGAATCGAAGAGTACAACAGAAAAGAAGAACGAAAAGGTGGGGGAAAAGGAAAAGGAGAAGGAGGTGGAGAGGGGGAAGAAGAATGCACTAGCAAACTGACAAAAAAATTTTATTTTTTGACGAAGAAACCAACTTTAAATAGGTTTGAGTGGACTTGGCTAAGCATTTAGTAGTTTTTTTTAATCGTTACTCAACCACTGTTATGTTACGATGCTGAGAACGAGAATTGTCAACAAAAAATGCTTAATTTAGAGGTTCCAAAATGAAACCGTCAAGTTTGTGCGCAACTTTTTTTTCTTTTTCATTTGCTCTTAGCAAACTAAAAAAACTCACAATTCATATCAGAGGCTTCAATAATCATTGTTAATTTATTGTGGAAAAATTACTCCGTATAAATATTGTTTCACCGCTATCTGCTTTAAAACACTGTTGCAGCAGCAGTTCTGAAATTTGTGCTGTCATCTTTTACTACTGCATTCTTTTCTGCTTTTTACTATAATTTACAGGTATTTCCAATTTTACCTGCATGAGGCATTCATATACTTTTTTTAATTTTTTCTTTTTGTCTATTATTTCGGTTTGCAAATATAAAACCGAAAGCAAAAAAAAAAAAACCAAAAAGATTTGAGCGGAAAAGCGAAGTTAGAAGATGATACACTGAGAACGAATATATTGCAACAAGATGAAAAAAAACCAGTCTCGAATCGGACTTTTTAATATTTTTGATCAGTTTATGCAACTTTTTTTCCATCAAAATTATCAATTCTTATGACAGAACAGTCTGCCGGAAACAGTCCTCAAAAATATTAGCCTATAGTTTGCAGTTTAACTAATTACCCGGTACGTCTTCAAACACTGCAAACTTGTTCCCTTGACGTTGTGCTAACAGCCTGAGACTTTAATTTTTTCAAATATAACATTTGCAAAAAAAAAAAAATCATCATTGATAGCGATATTAACAAAATGAAAAAAAGAAAACTTGACATATACAATTTATTAAGCTCACAAAAATTTTTGCTGTTATTCGGCGTAACAAAACAACATTTTTGCTATAAAACATACAGATTACATATATTTAAAAAAATTTTGATTAACAACTAATAAGTTGTAGCTTTATAGCTCTGAACTTTTCCAGATGAAAAATACAAATGTAAATGTAAGAAAAAAAATTGGATTAGCTCTATCCAACTTATTACATAGAAGTGTAGCAAGAAAAGGAAATGGAAAACTTAATAATAGAATTATTAATTTGATTTTGACAATCATAGAATACTTAACGAAAAAAGACTTAGCATATACTCAACAACTTTACCGACAATATATGATTCCCACTG